GAAGATTGATACATTCAGCACTGATGCTGGTTTTTTAATGAACAAAATATCAATGTGTACATTAAATAATAAATAATAGAATGTGGTATCTTAACACTTTTAAAGCGATGGCATCACTTTGTGTTATTTTTTCCTTTTTATTTGTGTTCCTGTTAATAGAATAAACTCATTTATTCTAGTATATGGATGCTAGTCTTTTAAAAATCATCTCAGTAACATTAAAGGTGATTTCACTCTCTGGGCTGTGTTCTTAGAAAAAATAAGCATATGTACACATGCATTTAGAGCAGATATAACAGGGTCTAGCTCTATATGTAGTCTAGGCTAACTTCAAACTCAGTCTTTCTGCCTCCACCTGCCAAGGGTATAGGCGACATACCCAGCTTATATGTGATGTATTGCTTCCTTCTCACCTGGGTCAGTTGTTAGGGTCCTGAGACTGGAGTGGCAGGAAATTTTCTATGTGCTTTCTTCTGAGAACCTTGTGAAAGGTTCCTGAATTTTAGGGGAAATGTACTGTGATATTTGGGTCTCTATGGTGAATGGATGGTATTGTTCTAGGGGCTTAAGATTTGCCTTTTCTAGGGAAGTTAATTCTAAAAGTAACTCACGGACATGAGTTGGTACGTTTTCTCTTAAGAGGGGAGTTTGATTTAAGTGCTCTTTCATGGCTTGGTGCTCCTGTACTTGCTGTCTGGAAGCAGCAGTGCCTATGAACTTGTACTATGTAGACTCTGGGTCCTTATTCAACTAAGACATCCTGTTTCCTATTACTGTTTTTATTTGTTCCTTTGGCTTTGTTTACATCTGTATTTAAAAGTGGTTCCATTTAGATGTGTCCCAGGAGCAGCAGTGTTCCATCTGTTGCCTCAGTTTCTTTGCCTCATATTTGTTTTATAAGCAGCCACCGTTTTTTTATCTTTATAGTATATATATTTGAGATAAGGTCTCTCTAAATAGTCCCAGCTGTCCTAGAACTCGCTCTGTAGACCAGGCTGACCTCAAACTCATAGAGATCTGCCTGCCTCTGCCTCTTGAGTGCTGGGATTACAGGTTTATGCCGTCATGCCAACTCTCTGCCTCGTATTTGTAAGCAACTGTTGTTCTGTAGTCTATGAGGCCTAACAGTCCAGAACTCTCTTAGTGTTGTATTTATTCTAAACATCTAATACTATTTTTATCTGGCAGGCTTATCTTCAGCAGACTCAAGAACTGGTTTTACTTGAAACCATAATGCTACAAACACTGGGTATGTGTGCTTACATCATTTTGTGTTCACTAATCCAATATCCTAAACAAAAATTTCTAGAATAGCTTCTCATTGAAGACAGTTGTTTGAAACTACTTTGGAATGAAATAGTATTGCTTGTTCTTTCTAAGTAGCCATTTTTCCGAAACTTCTTTTGGCATATCTTAGTTGAGTGATGCCTATGGCTTCAATGTGACAGGTTTCACAGTGCCAGCTCTCTGCTTCACTGTGAGTTGCACAGCAGTGTGAAATAGTTTTTAGTACAGAGGTGGTAGTATGTACAAATAATTTCTGCAGCCCCTGTTATTTGAACATGGTATAATAATTATTTGAGTGAACTTTGATAATAAGCAAACTGGTTAGAATGTTAGACTTATCTAAAGTTAAGTGACCTTAGAGAACTACCTAGCAAGTCGAGGTCAAATAAATACAAGCTCTGTTGAGATCAGAATTTAATAAATCTACAGGTTTCTGATCTCCTTTGTAAACTTGAGGCAGTTTCTTTACCAGTTACACTTCCATCCTGCATATATGGAATAAAGACTGCTTTATATAGCAAATTTTTATTTTTATTTCACTGTTATTCCATTCTCAAATACTGAATAGAAATATAAATACAAGCAGGAATGGTGGTATATGCCTTTATTCCCAGCACTCGGGAGGTGAAAACAGATGGCTCTCTTGAGTTTGAGGGCACCCAGGTCTATATACTGACCCTGTCTCAGAAAGACAGACAGACACACAAACACACAGCTACATGTACTGGCAGGTTTTTATTATAAAAGTAGTTTATTTAAAACACATGGATTAAGTTTTATTAAAGGCACAAAATGAAAGTGAGTACATTGCCTCAGAGTCTTATTTTTCATTATTGTCTTAATTACAACATTTACATGAATTTATGAAAACTTACAGACATTTGAGAGTAGTATGTTGTGTTATAAAACATAAACTTGGGCTGGAGAGATGGCTCAGTGGTTAAGAGCACTGGTTGCTCTTCCAAAGGTTCTGGGTTCAATTCCCAGCAACCATATGGTGGCTCACAACCATCTGTAATGGGATCTGATGCCCTCTTCTGGTGTGTCTCAAAGACAGCTACAGTGTACTCATCATATAAATTAAAAAAAAAAAAAAAAAAACATAGACTTATAGGAGCTGTAGATGGGAGTCAGGTAGAACTGTCAGCTTCTGTGCTCCTGAGGCCATGTCCCTGGATCACTAACAGTAATAGTCGGTGAATAATATGTATGCTTTATGACATACTCTTACACAGGGAGAATGAATGCCTATAAGTGTACATAAGAAAACAGATTTCTTTGGTTGAAATGTTACTTTGCTAGTTAATTGCAGGAGAGATATAAATAAAATATACCTTTACAAACTCTGATTACTCATCTGTTAGACTTTTACTCAGAGTTCTAAGAATACAAGATAATAAAATGTAAGAGCTGATTGCATAGTCATTGAAAGCTTCCCAACATTTCCTTGAGTGTTTGAAGATATTTAGAAACTGTGTGCGGCATACCTCACTGTGCACATGACTCTCATTAGGAGCTGGAGCTGTATCCCTTTGATTTAACAGTACAATTAAGACAGCTGTAGTAGTTAAATTTCTTTGGTGGTGCTGTTGGCAGCAGGTATGTTTATGAGAAACGCTTTCCCACATCTTCTGAAGCAAAGTTGTTGTTGGTTTTTTTTCTTTTTAATGTTAAAGAGATAATACATAAACTTCAACCATGATAGTAATTATTTGATGATTTGAACATAAGCCCAGGTGAATTAAAATCCTAAATTTTAGATCAAGTTGTCCTTGTTTAAATAATTGTCTGTTTTCCTATTGAGAAATAAGAAACTAGTTACTGTTTATTCTGGAGGGTAATACATATGTCAGCAATAAGAAGCTTTAATGTTGGCTTTGGAATCCTCTTAATACTGAAGAGTGTATTTGACATTTATGATTGTATGGCAAGCCTCCTTGCTCAGGCAAGTACTGTAGTGGTAAGTAGTTGGGAAAAAAAGTGCTTTTCATTTCAGGTTTTGAGATCACCATTGAACACCCACACACAGATGTGGTGAAATGCACCCAGTTAGTAAGAGGTGAGTGGTCCCTCAACCATCTGGGATGAGTGATGGTGTTTCTTTCCTTTAGGATTGGTATGGATATTGTGTATTCTAGTCTTTTGTTGGGTCTTATTTAAAAAAATGCAAATGTCATTTTGAAATAGTGTTCTTTATCTTAAAGGTCATCTACTTCTGTCTGTGTTTTCCAAGTGCATTTGGTTGCTTTTGTGTGGTAATGGAGAAAACTAACAACTCTCATGCCCCGCTATGGTGCCCTTACACCTTATGTGAGCAAGAGCCCTTCCCACAGGCTGCCAGTGTTGCTTCTCTAGTTTCCATTTGGATTGCTTACGGTGCATCACAGCTTCTGGGGTCTGCTTCTGTGCTTTTTATTCTTTTGAAAATAAAATCCTGTGGTTTCTCACTTACAGGGTTGTGTGTGTGTGTGTGTGTGTGTGTGTGTGTGTGTGTGTGTGTGTTCATGTTCTTAGTATTTACCTTAATAGTCTCATTCATTCTAAATTGAATTCATTTTACATCTAGATAGCATTTTATTTTGCAAATGGCAGCATTGGAAAGCAAGCCCAGAGGCTTCAAGCCAGCATCTTTGCTAACAGTAGAGATTAAGACTAGGAACACACATTACCAAGAGAATCACTTCGCAGAACACAGTATTTTAATTATAGATCCTATTCTTCACAGACATATAAATATACTTTGTAACACAGTTGCTTCCCTAGTTACAGTATAGAATCAAATAGCAACTAGCTGTACATGGTAAGACAAGCATGTAGGTTGGTCTCATTGAAAGCTTGAAAGAATAAACCAATCTGTGCAAGGTAGCAAACCACATAATTTGCTCTAAATCAAGAGCCTAATGAGGAAAGACATTAGTGTGTGTTTAGCAAAGGTATATGTACTGCCTTAGTAAACAAGGCTGGATTTTAAACTAACACTTAAACTACAGATTTGATGTATTCCCCAAAAAGTTTTGAGGTTTTTTTTGTTTGTTTTGTTTTGATGTTGTTCTATTCAAGTCTCATATCCTGGTGTGTGTGTTCCTCTAACTCAGCCTTGATGTGGCTGCATTTTCCCTCTTTAAAGATTTTCTTTTATCTTTATTGTCTTTGTTTCCTTTGCTCTGTTATAACTTTGAACTAACAAGAACGCTTTATGTTCCTCCCTGTATTGAATTTAGATACAGGCCTTAGGAAAAATGGTACCACAGTTGAGTGTTTTCATTATTGTATGGAGTTTTTGGTCGGGTGGTGGTGGTGTGTAGATATGATTTGTGTGAAGCCCTCACCTCCCACTCCAGATGAGACAGTTGCTACTTTGCTGACAATTGGCTGTTGTCATTTTACCAGGGACCTTTCACTCTGATCTCTCCTTCCCTCCCCACCAGGAAAGAATACCATACTTAAGTCACACTGCCTCCAAGACCTCTGGTGCTCTGACAGTCTTCCTTAGCACAGCTCTGCCAGACCCAATCCCTTTTGTTAAACCTTCCCTTGATGATCACATGGGGCAGCAGGGATCACAGGTGCCAAGAGTGAAAATAGGAGGGGAAGGAGTTCGGGGGTTGGGGGGCTTGGGAGCGGGGTGGGGGCCTGGGACTGCCAAGCTAGTGATTTTTGATCAGAAGGGGCTGGGGGGCTGGTGAGGTCTCTCTGTTGGGAAGAGCATGGGGTAGGGGAAGGGAAACTGTTTTAGTGTCTTATGAAACTAGTTAAAAATTGCTTTCCTGTTGGGGACCATTGTTGGAAGCATTCCCCCTAGAATATTCCTCTTTCTGAGTTTTATCTCTAATTGGAGTCTATAAGTTAAAAATTAGTACAGTGGAGCTTCCTATATTCTGTTAATATACAATAACAGTATATAATAACATGGTAAAGAACTGAGGTTTATGTTCTTAGAAGTTTGGGGTGGGGGTTGTTTTGCTCAATTTTGAAGGAAATATTTAAGCAGCCTAAATATAATGACAGGATTTAAGTTTGGCAGGCAACTCTTCGTAGTTTGTATTAGACTTCAAAAATCTTTTTTTTCTTCTTCTTCTTTTTGTTTTTTTGTTTTTTGTTGTTTTTTTTTTTTAATCCAGGAGAATGCTTTATTTCAACTTTTAGCTGACTAGATGCTTAACTTAGTAACAAGTTTAGCCCTTGTAACTGGCTAGCTAAAAGCAAATCGGCTTGTTTCTCAGATCTATGGGGGATAGCAAGAAACATTTGAGTGAATGTTGTTGAAGATTTTCAGTAGTATAGAAAATGATGGCGCTCTTGTGATATTTGTAAGTAGTAAGTAACATTTACTTTTTGTGTACAAATATTTGATGTTTTGTTGTATTGAGAGTTTTTGTGATGTTGACATGTTGAAGCTGATGATATTGTCTTCGTTCTTCTTTCTTTTCTTACAGCAAGCAAGGATTTGGCACAGACATCCTATTTCATGGCTACCAACAGGTTGTTATCCTGACCCTCTTTGTTGCACTGTTGTAGCACACTATAGCTTCCTTTAATGCAGGGCCCCCTCAACGTGTCTCTTGCCCTTGTTGCAACAGGAGACTGGACCATCTACTGTGGTGGTACCTTCCTGGTTGCTTTGCGGTGTATTGTACAAGGGACTTTGGGCACAGAGGGGTTAAATGCACACTGTGAAGTGTAGTGGTGCTTTCTGGTGGCATATTCTCGATTTGTGAGTGCATAAGTCTAAACTTGGTAGCCTGAATAGCAGCTAAAGATTACACAGAGCTAAACTTAACCTAGAAACTTGGTAAGTATAAAGCTATTTTTAGTTTACAATTATAGTTAAATGACATTTTTTTTTTATTTTCACATTGATCCAGTCTTTTAGAATAATTGCTAAAGTTTCTTAAGTAAAATTTATGTAATTTTGGACTTGTTCCAGATAATATTCCAAATAGTAAATTAGAAGTAGTCAATTATTATCAGTGCTTAGGTTTGCAGAGATGCAATCTTTATTTTAAAAGTCCTGCTTTTCCATTTATATGAAGTAAAATTGTAATGTGTGTTTGTGGCTTTTCAGTAAATGTTTCATCTATTCTAAACTAGAATAGTTTGAAGGAGCTATGAAGTATATGTATAATTCTGTTCTGGCTTGGTATTAAAGGTTGAAAGCTCTTAAGTGAGCACTGTGGAAATGAGAACCAAACTAGCTTTTTGGATTAACAAAACTTAGGTTAGCCAGCTAGGCATGGTGGTATGCCTGTCATCCCAGACTGGACAATGGAGACATGAAGATCAGAATTTCAGGGTTACCCTTAACTACATAGCAAGTTTGAGGCCAGTCTGGGCTACATGAGACCCTGTCTCAGAAAACTAACAAAAAACGTTATTATAAAAACTAGCCTGTGAAATGTCACATGCCCAATTTTTGGTCCATGATAAGAAGTAGAGGTAGTATTTATTAGTATTGACCTGCTTTTGAACCTTGAAATGTCTTGGCATAAGGTAAGTTCTCTTTGAGACTTTGCTGTAAGGGATATAGAAATGTACATGAACAAGAACTGTTAATTAAACCATGTCAAATGATCTAATTTTTGATTGTGATAGTAAAATTGCTTTGTTTTATAAAGTATATATGCGTGTGTTTAAAAAAAACCTATCACAAGAGTGGTTTAAAAGGTTATACTTTGATTATTATAAATATGCTCTTTCATTTATATAATACTTTGTTAGGTTTTAAAACAAAAATTTATTAATATTAATCATGAAAATAGAATATTAATATACTACTGAGGAGTAAAAATGAGGAAAATGTTCCGTGATCTATAACGATTTTTTATTACATTTTTCAGTTGTGTTAGCTATTAATTTAATAGAATGTCATGTAAAGAAAAGCATGTCTGATTTTATGTTTACTTTTGTCTTACTGGCAAATGTTTTTCTTTGTTTTACATACTTTGAATTTCTGTGGCCCTCCACTTTTAAATCTGCTCTACACCAGTTTGCATCTTACGACCTTCTGTCTTCAGTACAAACCCACAGTGATAGCATGTGTATGCATTCATTTGGCTTGCAAATGGTCCAATTGGGAGATTCCTGTGTCAACCGATGGAAAGCACTGGTGGGAGTATGTGGACCCTACAGTCACCCTAGAGCTGCTAGACGGTGAGTACCAACCCTCCCTGTGTGTGGAAAGGATGCTGGAAGCCTTCTGTATATGCACTGCCTGCCTGAAGCAGTGTCCACAGGGACACCACAGTGGCACTGTGGGACACAGGTCACACTTGTCTAACTGGTTATAGTTGGCCTGCCCCACTTGGGGGGGAAAAAAACATGCTTTTTTAAAATAATAATAATAATAATAATATTTTAATTCTTCCCCTTGTGGGGGCTATACGTGCGTGTGTACATACACACGTAAGATTTGTGCAGGAAATTTGAGGCAAAATCTCATCCACACTGGGCCCAAAAGCATCTGGGTATTTACTCCATTTGCTGGGGTCAGATGAGAAATTGTGTTTTCAGAGGAAGAAATGGAGTTCCAGCATTGAGTTTTATTTTATCCAGACTTGCTCAAAAAGCTCCTGAGACTAAACATGAAACAATCTTGTAATTACTGAGAAATTTCCACCCAAAATTTATGGCTGATTTGGGTTTTGGTTGATGGGTACTTTGTAGCACAATTTTACAGACTGATCTTGGTGGCAGTGGTGATGCAGTCGTCACTGTCAAGTGCTGGATTTTGAGCCCAGTCTCTAAGTGCTAGGCAGTACTCTGCCACTAAGCCGTACTCCGCCTCCTCACAGGCTGAGTTTGGTTTGTGTAATTTTTGTGTGTTCTGCACTGAGACATTTTGTGTTATCTAACTTGTTGCTGTCACTCCTAACTTTTGCATAGGCTGGGTGACGGAAAAACTTGCTATTTGCTCCAAAAATCAGTGGCTATGCAGTCTCAGTGCTTGGGTCTATTGTGACAGGTTGACTTGACATGACTAATACATATGATAATATGGCTCTCTTGTCATGATTGCCATTGACTATCAATAACAGTTTTTTAGGTGATAAAATTATAGTTTAACACAATGATAGATACAATTTTAATCCCAAGCTTAAGACAGTGGATAAAATTCCAACCAGAGTAACTTACTGGTAAGTGTTCATTGCTGGGCGGTGTGAGTGTTGGCATTTCCTCTTTTCTTTTAAACATTTAACCATAAAATAATTTTAAGCTTCAGGAAATTGCAAAAAATAAAAAATATTTACAGAATCCTTATGCTCTCCTTAGTTAATTTTTGTTATTGACCTCTTATATAACATTTATTAAGATTAGGAATTAATGCTGGTATAATACTGCTTATTAAACCTAGTTGTATTCAGGTTTCCCCACTTACTCTGGTGTAGAGTCTTATGTTCTATTTGTATCCAGTTGAAATGTCCAAGTGGTCACCTCCAAGCTGTCAGGACTCACTCTTTAATCTCTCCTGATTTGAAGAATAATGAGTGCCTTTACAGAGTGATTCCGAGTTAATTTCTCATCATTTAGGTTGAGTATTCTTGTCAAGAATACTGGAGAAGTAGGTTGTACCCTGCTTGTCTCTCAAAGCATGGGACCATGTTTGCGTAGTGTTTCGTACCACTATGCTGGTCACATGATAAGTGATAGTATTGAGTTTTCCATTGTAAAACTGTTCTTTCTCTTTGTAATTAAGCATGCTGGAGAAAATATGTTTAGTGCTATACAAATGAATACTTTTTTCTCAAACTTCTGCCTACTGATTTTAAAAAACCCATTGGTGGATCTTTTCTATGTTAAGCATAGTTTTCCTGGTAGAGATTCCAACTACCATCCTTTTCAGAAATTTTATTTTCTAAGTAAGCAAATGAAATTTGGGCGGGGGGGAATCTTTTTTAAATGAATTCAGCTTTGAAATACCAGGTCAGAGTTGTGTCTGTGTATGCCAAAGACTGACTAGAAATAACAATGAAAAGGCTGAACTCTTAGGATCCTTTTAAATATTGCCTACTTGAGAGAGGTTCACATCCTAAAGGCATCATCTAAGTTTTAAACTTAAATTTTATTTTTAGAGCTAACACATGAGTTTCTACAAATATTGGAGAAAACGCCTAGTAGGTTGAAGAGGATTCGAAACTGGAGGGTAAGAGAATTGGCAGGATTTAATTAACAAAAATATCAATTTGTCACTCATCTAGCAATTGCCTAGCAAATGGTTTGAAATGGGATGGTTGAATGCTGTACTTCATACCGTTCCTCAGTACATTGGACCACACATAGACTGCAGGTGTTTGCAGTTGCTCAGCTCCTGTATCCAGGAGCACTGGCTTGCTTTCTCTCTCCCTTCTTCCCTCTCTCTCTTTTCTTTTTTTAATTCTCTGTAATGTTGGGGAATTCCCTTGTTTCAAGTGAGGCTAAAGCCTACACAAGTTACTGTCTCAAGTCCTGGGTTAGGATACAACTGTATCTATTTCTCCAACCATAGAGCCTTCTGCTGCATTCATTTATTGCCATAGAACTTTGAGTTCAGGTGGATTTGTTTCCATGAACTTCCTATAGAGTTTTACAAGCAAAGACATTTGTATTAAATCCTTTTGCTGTCATTGTTTCTTCTATTTCTCATTTAACTAGGCCATGGCTAAGAAACCAAAAGTAGATGGACAAGTGTCAGAGACACCACTGCTTGGATCATCTTTGGTCCAGAATTCCATTTTAGTAGATAGTGTCACTGGTGTACCTGCCAACCCAAGCTTTCAGAAACCATCAACATCAACGTTCCCTGCTCCAGTACCTCTAAATTCAGGAAATACTTCTGTTCAAGATAGCCGTGCATCTGATAATTTATCAATGCTAGCAGCAGGAATGCCCAGTACCTCATACAGTTTGTCATCACACCAAGAGTGGCCTCAGCATCCAGATTCAGCCAGGACAGACCCAGTGTACACACAGAAACAGGAGGCCACTATATCTGGGAGCCAGTACCTAAGCTTCCCGCAGGGACCTTCAATGGCACTGCATTCTGGATTACATCACAGGCCAGACAAAGTTGCTGATCACTCGTCTGCTAAGCAAGAATATACTCACAAAGCTGGGAGCAGTAAACACCATGGCCCCATACCTGCTACTCCTGGAGTGGTTCCTCAGAAAATGTCTTTAGATAAGTACAGAGAAAAGCGGAAGCTGGAAACCCTTGACCTGGACACAAGGGATCACTATACAGCTGCCCATGCAGAGCAGCAGCACAAACATGGGCCAGCACAGGCAGTCGCAGGCACTTCTGTCACTTCTCCCATCAAAATGAAGCTTCCCCTCAGCAACTCCGACAAGCCTGAGAAACATTTGGCAGAGAAAAAGGAGAGGAGTGGATCACTGAAGCTACGAATTCCCATCCCACCCCCCGATAAAGGTCCCAGCAAAGAGGAGCTGAAGATGAAAATCAAAGTGTCATCCTCTGAAAGGCACAGCTCTTCTGACGAAGGCAGTGGGAAGAGCAAGCACTCGAGCCCACACATCAGCAGAGACCACAAAGAAAAGCACAAGGAGCACCCTGCCAACCGCCACCACAGCAGCCACAAGC